TGTAAGGACTCCTCCTCCTTTAAGAAAAGGAGCGGCAGTAACAAACATGGGATGAACTGACCTGCACTCCCCCATTCCCTGTCCCCCTGTGCCGCTGGGGGAGGAGGTAGAGCCGGGAAGAAAAGGAAAGGGGCGGGTGAGGTGGTGTTTTTTAATATCTGGCTTTGTTTCTGATTTGATTGTCTGTATGAGCTTTTATAGGCATGTTCTCAGGCAAGTTAGTACACAGATGTCATTCTTATCAGAGTTAAACCCAAAATGCAGTGTAATATTCTTTCCTGCTGCTTCAATGTCATACATGCAGTTCCAACACAACACTTCCTTGCTGCAATTAACACTGCCTTTCCTTACCCTACAGAAGTGCCCCTTAATTATTTTTTCCTACAGCAACAAAAAATCCTCAGCTTTTAAAAATAATTTTATAAATAATGTGCCTTGCAGGACACAACATAAGAAATGAGTATGCTTTGTATTTGCTCAGTTAAGCAGAACCTTCATTGCTGTGATCTTTCCTGTGTTTAGCATTTAGATAAAATAGTATGCAGTAAGTCTTTCATTTAAAGGCAAAATTTTATTCTGTTTACAAGATTTTCAAGATACATCTTGAAAAGATTTTTGTTGACAAGAGTAGCTATCTTGACTTACTGTTTTATGTACCAACGCTTTACGCGTTTGTTGATAAAAGCACGTTTTGAATTCTGCTTGCAGATGTTTAATAAAACAAGGTAACTGGAAAGGCAAGCTTCCGGTCAAGTTGTCATACATTTCCAGGAACATCTTTACAGTGGAGGAACCTTCATGAAAAGTAGTATGTTCTGGAAGCATGGTTTCATAACGCAGAACAGGATTATTACACATTCTGACTGCCTCTGTTAAAAAAAAAGGAGGGTAATTGTCATATGTGATTCCCTTCTGAAGGGAACAGAGGGGCCAATATGTTGACCGGACCCAACCCACAGGGAAGTCTGCTGCCTCTCTGGGGCCCGGGTCAGGAACATCACTAGGAAACTCCCTGGTCTGGTACAGCCCTCTGATTATTATCCATTACTCGTTTCCACCTCATGTGGCAGGAAGAGAACATCTAGCAGAATTAGAACCTTGGACTTCAGTAGGGCCAACTTTGACGTTTTCAAACAACTGCTAGGAGAAATCCCATGGGACAGAGTACTAGAAGGTAAAGGGGCCCAAGACAGTTGGTTAGCCTTCAAGGACCTCTTCTTCCAAGCTCAAGACCTGTGCATCCCAACAGGTAGGAAGTCAAGAAAGGGTACCAAGAGACCTCCATGGTTAAATGGGGAACTGTTGGGCAAACTCAAGTGGAAAAAGAGAGCGTACAGATCATGGAAGGAGGGGCAGGCCACTTGGGAGGAATATGTCTGCTGTCAGAGGATGTAGGGAGCCAACTAGGAAAGCTAAGACCTCCGTGGAATTAAACTTTGCAAGAAAGGTCAAGGACAACAGAAAGGGCTTCTTCAAATACATGGCAGATAAAACTAACACTAGAGGCAATGTAGGCCCACTGGTGAATGAGGAGGGTTCCCTGGTGACAGAGGATAAGAAGAGGGCAGAGTTACTGAATGCCTTCTTTGCCTCAGTCTATACTGCTGGAGGCTATCCCAATAAGCCCCAGAACCCTGAGGCTCCTGAGGAAGTAAGGATAGAGGAAGAGTCTACCCTAGTTGACAAGGACTTGGTTAGGGACCAGTTAAGCAACCTGGCCATCCATAAGTCCATGGGTCCTGATGGGATGCACCAGCAGGTGCTGAGGGAGCTGGTGGATGTCGTTGCCAGGCCACTCTCCATCATCTTTGTTAAAATCATGAGGAACGGGAGAGGTGCCCGAGGACTGGAGGAAAGCAAACGTCACTCCGGTCTTCAAAAAGGGCAAGAAGGAAGACCTAGGTAACTATAGACCGGTCAGCCTCGCCTCCATCCCTGGAAAGATAATGGAACAACTTATCCTTGGCACTGTCTCTAGGCATATCAAGGATTAAAGGTCATTAGGGGCAGTCAACATGGCTTCACTAAGGGGAAGTCCTGCTTGATGAACCTGATAGCCTTTTACGAGGACGTCACCCCGTGGGTGGATGATGGTAGAGCAGTGGATGTGGTCTATCTTGACTTCAGTAAAGCATTTGACAGTCTCCCACAGCACCCTCACAGCTAAACTGAGGAAGTGTGGTCTGGATGATCGGGTAGTGAGGTGGATTGTGAACTGGCTGAAGCATAGAATCCTGAGAGTAGTGGTCAATGGGACAGAATCCAGTTGGAGGCCTGTATCCAGTGGAGTCCCTCAAAAGTCAGTACTGGCACCAGTATTGTTCAACATATTCATCAATGACTTGGATGAGGGAATAGAGTGCATGGTCAGCAAGTTTGCTGATGACACTAAACTGGGAGGAGTGGCTGACACACCTGAAGGCTGTGCTGCCATTCAGAGAGACCTGGACAGGCTGGAGAGTTGGGTGGAGAGAAATTCAACAAAATACAACAAGGGCAAGTGTAGAGTCTTGCATTTGGGTAAGAACAACTCCAGGTACCAGTACAAGTGGTGGACTGAACTGTTGGGGAACAGCACAGGAGAAAGGGACCTGGGGGTCCTGGTGGACAGCAGGATGACCATGAGCCAGCAATGTGCCCTTGTGGCCAAGAAGGCCAACGGCATCCTGGGGTGTCTTAGAAGGGGTGTGGTTAGTAGGTCAAGAGAAGTTCTCCTCCCCCTCTACTCTGCCCTGGTGAGGCCACATATGGAATATTGTGTCCAGTTCTGGGCCCCTCAGTTCAAGAAGGACAAGGAACTGCTTGAGAGAGTCCAGCACAGGGCCACAAAGATGATTAAGGGAGTGAATCATCTCCCTTATGAGGAAAGGCTGAAGGAGCTGGGTCTCTCTAGCTTGGAGAAGAGGAGACTGAGGGGGGACCTCATTAATGGTTATAAATATGTAAAGGGTAACTGTCATGAGAATGGAGCCAAGCTGTTCTCAGTGGCATCCAATGATAGGACAAGGGGAAATGGATATAAGCTGGAACATAGGAGGTTCCGCTTATACATGAGGAAGAACTTTTTCCCAGTAAGGGTAACAGAACACTGGAACAGGCTGCCCAGGAAGGGTGTGGAGTCTCCTTCTCTGGAGATGTTCAAAACCCGCCTGGACGCATTCTTGTGTGATCCTATCTAGGTGGTCCTGCTCCGCCAGGAAGATTGGACTAGATGATCCTTTGAGGTCCCTTCCAATCCCTAACATTCTGTGATTCTGCTTTTTTCTCAGTCTATTTTCTAGAAAACTGATACTGCAGCTCTGCCACCAGGCTAGAGACTCACGATCCACCACATTTTCCAAGACGCAAGTTAAAGATCACTCACTTGACCTGACCAGATACCAAGCCAAGTTACTTGTAGAAAGAAATTCATATTTATTGCCATTAATAATATAAGTTTTTAAATAAATATTTATGTGCCTTTTTTGGCAACTGTCCATTCTGATAGCATCTGCTGTCCCAACAGCTCAGTATCCTTAGCACATTGATAAAAAAAAAAATCTTAGTCAATTCTGTTTCCACAAATAGTGAACCTGTCTATCTCCAACAAGTCCTTCTTTGAAGACCTGTGTTTTAATTCTGAACTGTCTTGGCTTATATCTTTTTCTTCTCCATCAGGAGTTGTCAGAAATTGATCAGAATTGCTTGTTAGAAGTAGAGACGGTGTATTCTCCTTCTGATGCACAGGTTGATTGGTAACTGATGTAGATCCATTTTCATCTGTGGAAATTCCTGTTGGAACAGAAGACAATTACAATGATAATAAGGAATTTAACAGAGACATACTGATGCATCTATAACATATAGATTCATCCAAAGCTGTCCTGAAAAACTGTGCTGTATGAAATCAGCGGTGTGGAAAAATAACAAACTGGGGGGGAATGGGAGAATATTGTCCCCCAAAGTTCAGCTTACGTCTTAACATGAGCTGTAATATGGAACAGAAGACAATTACAATGATAATAAGGAATTTAACAGAGACATACTGATGCATCTATAACATATAGATTCATCCAAAGCTGTCCTGAAAAACTGTGCTGTATGAAATCAGCGGTGTGGAAAAATAACAAACTGGGGGGGAATGGGAGAATATTGTCCCCCAAAGTTCAGCTTACGTCTTAACATGAGCTGTAATATCAGAGCAGTCTTGAGATAAGACACAGTTGCTGCTCCCAGGAACAGACGCACTTGGAACAGACAAGGCCTGCATCTAGTCGGACGGAATGTGCAACATCCATAATGTGGGGAACAGAGTGGTACAGAGGTACCATGGCTCATCTCTGTTACCATGGATAAAGAACGTCCGGCGAAGATAACCACATATTTACTATCAAGGAAGATGGATCACAACTACTGCCTCAGCAATGATGGTGAAATCATGTTCTGAAGCTGAACTGTGCTCATTATAACGTCAATATAATACCAAAATACACCTCCACCTCAAAAGCTACCCGCCCTCTGGGCTGCGCAAAAGTAGGTATGACTAAAGTCACTCAAGCTCCACCGAAAAGTAAAGAAATAGTATAAAATGGCAAAAGAGAAGGAGGATGTTAGGGAGAAGCCCGCCATCGAAGTGTTTGCGATCAGTCCACTGGCTGGATCTCTCTTCTCCCCCGACAGAGATGCCTATTGGGTGAGAGCTCTGTGTTACGCGCATTTACTAACATCTTGCTAGCTATTGAGTATTATCACTGCTCAGTTCTAGTTTTATATTATTCCAAATCAAATCTGTTTTCGCAATCAGTCCCTATCACCGGCTACCTTCAAATCTGTATCCTGTCACGAGCATATGTAATAAAATTTATCACATATATAAATATAAGTTCCAAGAAACTCCATAATAGATATAGAGAATATAAGGGGTTCGGCTCATTGTGCTGCCCGTGAGGTCCCTGAATAAGTAAGGCTAACACCCTCCAACTTAGCGGGCTGCCCAAGGCGGGCAGACAGGTTGGGTACAAGGGTCTTGTCTTTCTTGGGAAGCCGGTAGACTGGTCAAATTGCTCCCTGATCTCTGTTGACCTGACCCTGTGTCATAACGTGACAAGCAGAAGCAACAGATGAATGCTTTGTGGAAGCCACTACTAATCTACTACCTCCTCTTAGTTTTACCATAAGAGATTTCCTTTTCTAATTTGGTAAAAGGATAGAAAATGAATTCAATGGAAGTTCAGATAACAAGGAAGAGCATATGCAGCAGATGTTACGACATACGCTGCATTCTTTTGGTTTTGATTTTTTTTTTTTTGGCTTAGGCAAAAAGATTTTTGACAGTCATTGTGTGAATCACACAAATATTTTCCACTGAAATGAAGAAAAGAAATCTCTGTAGTGGGAATTAGAGGTGCCTAATGCTCTACATAAGTACAATAAACCTGGCTTCTCTAGGGACAGCTAATGACTCATGCACTGCTACACGCAGTAGTAGCTGACTCCTAAAGCAGTTCTATTAAAGATGTCTGTTTTTATTCCTGCCTCTTACTTCACTGCAATTGAACACTGGCTCCATTAACCTAAGATATTTGTAATTAATATCCATGTATTGTTTCCACATTTTGCTAAAACATTTAAAGAATTAAAATACATAAACAAATGACAAGCAAATAAATTTTTCTTATTTATTGTCTCCTCATAAAGACTAAGTTATTGCTTCTAAAGCAATCTGAAAAAATCTGACTAATGTGGAGAGTACCACAGACCAGCCCAGGGGAACATTATTTGTCAGAATGGCAGCACTGTCGAAATTACTACAAAAACTTCTTTCTGTACAGCATCTCTTCACAGTATACCATCTACTACTGGAAGGTACATGGATTACTCTCTACAGTCTGATGCAAGCCAAATGTACTACACTTGCATCATACTAAACTTGCATCAAGAAAGGATATAAGTAATGCTAATTGTAGAACTTCATTACAAAGGTATTTTCTAACCCAGCAGCTTCCAGAGAACGCTGATTGATTGCCAGTAATCAGAACTTCCATCCTTCAAGAGCAAGTATACAATTTTATCCTTCAAAATTTTAAACTGTTTCTGTGGACAAGGTGGAAACTCTTAGGAAAATAAATTAACTTACATTAGAAGCTGATAGAAAGTAGACCAGATTAATTCCCCCATCCTCATTCTAGGAAGAGATGGGTTGAGAGACTATTGAAAAAAACCTGATAAGTGGGGCATAGGGATTAACTGATATTGCAGAGCCCAGTAGTAATAATGCAAACACACAGAAGCTGGGGAAGGTAAAATAATTCTTTCACATAATTGAGGTTTCTAGTAAATAAAGAGCTGTTAAAAGTTAAAAATCTCAGAAAACTGTAAAAAAATTTGAGCTTTTTCCATCATCGGTGGAAGTGAAGAAGTTGCTACTTTTCATTTGCTGACACACCTGGTAAAACTGCTGCTGCTTCAGCTAAAAATACTCTTCAGGATTTATTTACTGTAAGTTTAAGGGTCAATCTAAATATGACTTAAGTCTCATATCCAAGCCTAGTACTAAATGTTTAATTAAAACGTTATCATTACGATACTCATCTAATGAAAAGCAAAAGACATTCAGACCAATTCATGTTATTCTTTCATAACGAAACTAAAGCAACTCTACGAATTTAAGCTATTTAAAAATAAATGTCTGCACCAAGTTTCTGCCTGATGTCATTTGACACAGGTGAGATACAGAGATTTATGACTGAAACATTGACAAATTCTTAACTCTACTATTGCTGGCAAGACACTACGACGACTAATAAGCACCTTACATTTCGAGTTGTTCAAGTCTTTGGCAAGCAATAGAGTGAACACAATAAAAGCCTCACTGTTAAGCTCTCGAGGGTTCTCTCTGAGCCCCTCACAGAGGAAGACATGCAATTCAGTTCAGTTGACTGGAAGAACAAAGGTCTCTGTTTCTGTGTCACAAGAATATAATAATGCCCCATTCCAATTACATATTAACCCCTAATGCTGAGGACCTATGTGAGAAAACCAGGCTGCACAGACTTGAGGCAAAGCAAGCAGAGACCAGCTGAAATTCCTATTTGGATTTCATAAAGCTTTTCATTAACGTGTTCCTGACAACTACAAGTATACCTATCGTGTGCCATGTTTTACATTAATTTCCATAAGAAATGCATAGATTGCTTTCTTTATTAAACTTCAGCACTGCCAGAGATGATAAGTAAATATTTATTTATTTGTGTAGTGACATGGCAGGAGGTTGGACTAGATGATCTTTAAAACATCCCTTCCAATCTGACCCATTCTATGACTATGAATTTCAAAAAAAAGCGTGCTACTGTTCTGATGTCCTATCACCTCCACACATCAATGTGGGGTTTTATCAGATAGATGAGTAGCTATAATCAAAAGACGATGCATGAACTAAAAGCAATAAATTCTATTACATTTACAGACTTCTGTTCACAGCTATGATATGGTACAATTAAGGTCCAGCAACAGGGATACTGTGCAGCACTGTCATTTATCTGGTTTAATATTAAATATAGTCTGAGAGCATTTTTCATTACAGTTGAAAACAAAACAAGGCAGTTAGCCTTACCTTGGGACGATTTAAACATGCTTTGCTGTTTGCCAGCCGGCTTACCTGGAGTGGCAGTGAAAACAGGGTTGAATAATTTCTCCTCCATTTTTGCCTCCTTTACATATTGACATGACTTCCCCAGCAATACAACACTGTTAAGGACTTTTAAAGATATTAACCTGAAAAAATAAAAGGACTTATTTACATATTTGCATTAGCATATTAAAATAATTGCACATTATTCATACAGTAATTATTCATATGAAAATAATTGCATATGGTTACTGCTGTCTTGGAAGGATTAGTTAATACTTAAATCCCTTCAATAGCAAGATCAAAAGGTAATTTCCTTTTCCTAACAATGTTTCAGATTCAAGGCTTTTTTTTATTTTTATTTTTTTTCTGAAGGCATCTAGAAAAAAACATCAAGTTTTAACACAAGGACTAAAAGGACAGTTAAGCAGCCATTTAATACATCAAATATTTAAACACAGAACTAAAAAGGGCCCTCAACCGTGCAAGTCTAAATTAAACGCACTGCTGTTAAAACTGTACCTTTAATTGTGCCCAGCCAAGGATCACTAGCGGACTTTGAACCTCAAGAAAGCAAATATCTAGCTTTCACAAGTTACAGGCTAATCATAAAAAGTTCTTTTTCACATCACAAAAGACAGTCCATAAAACTCAACAAATCAAAGAGGCAGCACTGCATTACCATCCTAGCACAGTCCAGCTGGTGGCAGATTCCCTTTGTATTATCACTCATTTGCAGGACAAATTTCAGCAAATCACTGAAGACCCTTTTATATCTGTCTTCCCATTTGAACAACAAGAAGGTCTCATCTACCATCAAGTGCTTTTAGATTTACAACTCAAATGAGCTTTGTAAAATCTAAGTTCTATTACTAGCATTACATGACAGGCAGACCAATGTCCACTCCAGAGATGAAAGCAGAAAGGAAGCAGGTGAAGGCTCACTACAGAACAAGGAAATAGTGATCTGTTCTCTGTAGGCTGAATATAAATACTCTCTATGCAAAGCAACATATGTAACAAAAGTGAACCGAATGCAGACTCTAAATTCATCCTCCACTCTCTGAAAATATGTTTATGTACATCACTAAGTTGAAAAAGACAACTTGAAGTGAACATTCAGAGATCCATGGAGGGAGTCTAACTGCTTAATCATAAAGTGACCCAAGCACAGTTCAGCAGCAGCTTCACTATCTCTCACTGCATTAATGTAATCAGAACTTGTCAAACAGAAAAACAGTACACTACATTTTTAAGGGAATTTTATGCAATACATTTACTTGTAGAAAAAGTTTAGAGAAATGGAAGAATAAGCAGAGTAGAGCAGATCACTTTCAGTATTCAGAAGAAAGTGACATTTTAGTATCCAAGCAACCACAAAGAAGATATCATTTTATGCAAGCTGAAAGCCCTGACTCTCTACACTTTTATTAGGTTATCGGGACAGATTTTGTTTCGGATTGTTGAGAAGCTCTCCTCTGCTTTTAGTAAGTTTTAGAGGTGTATTTTCCTACGCTTTTTTAGGTAACACGCTCTTGTTTTGAGACAGTCTGTGTTTACAGCATGATTTGACTTTGATTTAATGAGATCAAAAGTTGAAAAGGCCACAAATCAACACTTTACTGTATCAGTTCCGGCTTCTCATGGAAAATTATGCAGATTTTCTAGCAATTCTCCTTGTATTCTTTTCTGTCAGTCCACCTCACGCTCAAATTTCAAACAACAATGTAAGCTTTAGAGTTGTTCAAAATCCTAGAAAAACAAAACTCAGGTTTCATATGCTGGGCAAGACTCTTTAATAGTATAACTTACAGTATTACAGTTGTTATATATCAATACAAAACCATGTCCTCCACATTATAGTCTCAATCCTTTGCCCTATTAACTGTTTCGGATTTTATCACAGTTTCTCGTGTATCTATGCTATAATAATCTGATGAAAAGCTGAAATTTATGTTCAGAACACAAATTACTTGAAAGATGCAAGAGGTGAGTTAGCTTCAAACCTGAGATCATGGCAGAAGTAAAAAATCTGTTCTAACTTTTCAATAAGGACAAAATAAACCAAAATGTATTTACTCTTGTGACCTTTGCCTTCGAAGGGCAGCATTTAATTCTTCATGCTAACCACATTACTTCTTCCTGCCTTCCCATCCTCCAAGCCACAGATACAGGGAAAAATCCAGGACAGGGCTGCAG